CTCTCTCCCTCTCCAACTCTCTTCCAGAAACGCATCATCCCCAACCCGCAAACCTACCTGGATTTTGACCTACTCCCCTACGAGGAACAAATCAATAAGGGCATCCGACTGATGGCCGAAGCCATGGGAATCCCGGAGCACGCCGAGAGTTTGAGGGGCAAGGTAAGACCTTCTTGCCGTTTCAAAGCGGCAAGAATTGGGCAACTTGCAGGTCAAACGGTACGAATGTCAGACGGGAACAGTGGTGACGGAGGAGAACTCGTTTGAGATTGACATGATTTTTGTGGTGTTTGGGAAGCTAAGGTTGAAGAGGGTTAGTTTGATTGGGCAGCTTGCCTAGTCTTGCCTGGACAACTTGCCCATCCTGGCCTGGGCAACTTGCTTAGTCTTGCCCGCTCCGATCTGGGCAGCTTGCCTAATCTTACCTTTGCAGCTTTGCCCATTCTTGCCTAGGCAACTTGTCCACTTTTGCCAAGGCACCTTGCCCATCCTTGCCTAGGCAGCTTGCCTAGTCTTGCCTGGGCAGCTTTCCTAGTATTGCCTGTGCGACTTGCCCCATCTAGCCTTTGCAGCTTGCCTAGTCTTGCCTAGGCAGCTTGTTCGGGCAAATTGCCTGGTCTTGCCAAGACAGCTTGCCTAGTCTTGCCTGCCCTTGCCTAGGCAACTTGCCCACCTTTGCCTAGGCAGCTTGCCTAGTCTTGCGTGGGCAGCTTGCCTAGTCTTGCGTGGGCAGCTTGCCTAGTCTTGCCTTGGCAGCTTCCCCCTCTCCCAAGCTATTTGCACATGGGCAAGCTGCATGCTCTTTTTGGGCAACTTGCCCACTTCTTGGCAACCCTCTTGCCTAGGCAATCCGCCCATAATTTGCCCATCTTTTTGCCTAGGCAAGTTGCCTCTAACTTGCCCCTCATTCCAGGGCTCCATCGAACGCGACGAAACCGGCACCTCCCTAACCTTCGACGTCCACCCCGGCGACATCCTCCCCTCCATGCAAATCCTGACCAACGAACCGGCAATGTGTACGGCAAAAGCGATGGAGAAGACGATCTACTTCAAGATTTGCCGCGATGAATACATACAGTAACCCTTGGGGGTGCCTTTCTTTTAGAGGTTACGGTTTTTCAGATTTCTGTTCACCTACCCGGTCATTTATCTCCGCTTGGCCTTCCATGCCCTTCACTTTGTGTCCCCATTTGCCAGGGTCTTTGATTTGGCCGTCAGTTGGCATCGAATAGAGACTGGGCAGGCCCTGTTCAGGTACCTTTTATAGAAGGGCACCCCTAAACAAAATTCTAGGCTCGGCGACATATCCGACTGTATGTACATTGTGATGGGCGGTCGGTTGAGGGCTGTGGACGCGTCGAAAATTATTGAGGAGTACGGTAGGCTCGACTTGATTGGGATCACTGATATGGCCGAGAAACGGCCCAGGAAGTGTACGGTGATGGCTGTGAGGTTCTCGCATATTGTGTGTGTGCCGGAGAATTTGTTGGGTTTTGTCAAGATTCGGTATCCGCAGGTTAGTACAGGGGAAAGAGAGGGAGAGAGCGCAGAGAAGTTAGACAGTCTAGCTTCTCTGCGTCTACCCTCCAGAGGAGAGAGAGTGGGGTAAGAGACCGAGAGAAGCCAGACAGTATAGACTCT